GCAACTTTGTGATTTTGCATGTCAGAATCAAATGAGACAATATAATGAAACGTCACTTAAAAACAATTTACATCTGCAGCCAGAAACCACACTGAACAGCATTCCTACCCGCTGGGCGACAGCAGCAAGCTGCACACAGTCATCAGTGCCACAGCCCCAGCCACCACAAACCCACCTAGCTCCAGGAGGGCTCTGGTGGTGGGAGTGCTGCTAGGTCCTGGGGCTGTGGCTATAGAGTCTCCTATCCCCTGAGGGTTTCTCCTGCAGCCACACTAATCCATGGGTCAGGGATGGGACCAGACACCACTGCCACCATGCCCCCAGGCCATTCTGAAGTCTGTGCAAACTTCTGTTGGTGGAAGCCAAGACTACCACTTACCAACTTCCTCCATACCCAAACAGACTTTCACTGTCATTGCAGGGAGGGTGATGGCTCCTCCTGGAGGGTCTCGGCCAGGCCTCACCCACAGAGCCACCTACAACCCACCATCCCTCCCCACATACAACATGCCAGCACACCATCTCCTATCCATGCTCAATTACTTTTGACCACAAGTATCACACTTGTTTCCCAACCCTACCATATTCATGTCTTAATAAATGAGTCCCTATGCAGTTTAACAGGGAAAATACTCATAAAATCACCAATAACTCGCACTTGCCTTTGCAATAATTTTCTTCCAGTTTCCAGAGTAGTGTGGTGTGGACTGCGCACAGCAAACAGCTGTCAGACTTAACACTGCCACCTGCTCATTTGTTGTCTGCTGAGATTATGATATCTGCACATTTTCTTGAAATTACTGCATGAATATTTTCTGCACAAGCAATTTGTTCATAAACTGTTTCCAACAATGAGGGAGAGTAGAAAATCCTCATTTAAAACATGACCTGTTTGATCAGAGGCAAGTTCATGCAGGACCCTCAGTTACAGAGAAACAGTTGGTGGAACAGCCTTTGCATCACATTTCTGGCCTGGTCACTCATATCCCAGTTACTGAACTCAAATACACCTCAATGTTATTTTTAAAAGATACCACCTTTGTCAGGAATCTGCTGTGGAGAGCAAATGCAAGACTGCTCAGCTTAAGCCCGTGCAAAGGCAACCCAAAGGAACCATGCCATGCTCAGTCCCATGGCAAGTGGTGGGGGCAAGAAGAGATTGCTCCTGCAGCCCCCTCATTTTTGTTGTCTGAAGCTTTCTGAGCAAGTCCCCTGCGCGAGGCTGCTGTCTACCAGTATGGAGGTCAAGGAGGCTATGACCTAATGTTGTAGGCTGAACAGATAGGTGGACGAGATAGATTAAAGCTCTCTGTGCATCCAATTATTTGGTAACAACCAGTTGTGGGAGATCAGTCTTGGAAAGAGGCTCACTTTGTTTGCACTGGGAAGTGGTATTATCCCTTCAAAAACAGGGAATAAAATGCACAAAAAAATATACATAAAGCAGCACAACAGCCTGGTGCTTTAACTCATGCTGAGCTCAGGCACAGGAGGGGGAAGGAGCCAGTCCTGCTGGTCATGCCAGGA